ACATTTCACTTAGTGCCTGTGAGTTATGTCTGCTCAGATGGACAAATCTTATGAAAGCGAGCTGGAAAAATCAGCCTCTAACTGTGGAAGGAAAATCAATCCTGGTTTCTAACAGTTTATAAAACTCTGAAAAATTCGATATTTATGTATATTAAAGAAAATTAATGCAAAAAACATTGAGCAACATGTAGAAAAAAATCCTCATCAAAACACACTTTTCTTTTTTTCTTGTATTGAGAATACAAATCTGGATTGAGAATACAAATCTGAAATAAAAATACTGCGTGTGGACGCTCTAGTTTATGGTGATGCATGGCGGAGGTAGTATCATGCTTTGAGGATGTCCCTCATTAGGGCATGTAGGCTGGTCAGGGTTGATTGGACGATGGATGGAGGTAAATCAAGGAAGGAAAAACCCACCTAGAGGCTGCAGAGGTTCTGCTTAAAGAAAAAAAACAACCGTATCTTATCGTGACTATTTTACTCACTATTTTCTAATTGTTTTGCCCACTAGGAGGCGCCTCCAGCTCAACTCCAACCAGGCATTCTTTCTGCTGGTTAACGGCCACAGCATGGTGTCTGTGTCTGCGCCCATCTCCGAGGTCTATGAGCGAGAGAAGGATCAGGACGGCTTCCTGTACATGGTGTATGCCTCTCAGGAGACTTTCGGCCACCACAGCGCGGGCAACCTGGATCTGTCGGGGTCCTTACCTTCAGTGTTGTAGCTCTGCAGCCCCTCGGCAGGATTAATGTCCATGTGTATATATATATATATATACATATATATACGTTACAGGTAGTGAGGTCACATCTAGGTGGGGAATGCTCCTCCACTTCTCTATGGATCCATTTATATAAAACGCTTACATTAAACAGTTACTGAAACCAGCTTTAGGGTTTGGGAGGGATAGGATGAGGAGGCTGGGTTCTGATGTTTTTATGCAGGTTTTTATTGAAAGTGTGGGGTTTTTTTTTTTTTCTTTGCTTCTTTGGAACTTCTGAAACTAGATAGAGTAGATCTTTCATGTCCGCTGCTTCCACATTCCCATCGTGGTCCTGATTGCCTGATATTATTCCTGTCCCTTTCTGACATCTTTGCTGCAACTAAGATTATTGGAAACTGCTTCGCTCTTAGAACAGATGATCGTAGTTTGCATAAAGTACACAGAGATTTAAGAAGACGGATATTAACCAGCGTCCCGAGGAGTGTCGCCAAGTCGAGTTTTGGAAGCACTACAAGGAGCTGATTCCATGTGTGAACAGAGGATGACGGTGTTTCTGCGAAGGAAGGGGAGGGATGTTGTGTCCTCGTCTTTGCTTTATTTCTTCCTTCGGAGAAATTCCCGGTAAAAGTTCAGCTAAAAGCTCTTTAAATGCGGGAATCTACCACCTCTTCTGTGGGTTTATTTTAAAGGGCTGAACTGTGGATTAACTCGCCTTTCCTCCTGCCGTCATGCACCTCCTCTTCATACTCACAGCCTATTGAGGTTTAGCTGCTTTATACCGAAGTGTTATTGTTTTGTTTTATTTAAAGTGATTTTAATCTATGATTTTTGACTCTGCAGTTTGTAAAGTGACCTGTCAGCGTGTTTGTTACAGAGGGGTGGAGCATTCGTTGAAAAGATGCACATCCTGCCCGCCCCTTTGTTTCTCTCACACATTCAGCAATACAGCATTGTTTTATGTATTTATGTTGGACCATTGTAAACAATAAAAAGAGGAAAAAAATAATGTGTCTTTTGTATTCAAGTCTTTTACAACATCAACAGAAAACCACCCAAAGGATCTGTTAATGAAATAGCTCAAACATTTTTCCTTTAGGATATTTTCTCTTTATTCATGTCTTATTAAAAAGAAAATAAATAAATGTGAAAAGTCAGGATACCACAGTATTGTTGTTTTAAACACAACTTTATATATAAGCTTCTGGTCTTAATTTCAAGTAAACACAAAAACCTGTCTACATTTTACCAATTATACAATAAAATATAAATGTTGGGCTGAAAAATGTCTGGTTTGGACCCCTACCCTCTAATAAAAAGCAGATATGGGGCTGAATGTAAAAAAAAAAGGAATTCGTTCCCCTCTGTTTGAGGTGTTTCTACCATCTTCAGCCTATTTCAAGTCTCCTTAAAGAATCTGCTAGCTGAAGGTCCGAGCTCTGACTATTTCTTCATTCCCAGTAAGTCTTTGGTGGTGTGTTTGGGTCATAGCCATGTTCAGGGTCCAGTTCTGAGTAGCTTTCTTTGGTTTGTCACTGATGGTCTTAGATTTTCCTAAAACATGTCCCAATAGAGGGTAGATTTCCAAAACCATGAAACTTCCACCTCCATGCTTAATTGTATGTTATAATTTGGCTTTCGTATTTGATTTGTAAGCAACATGTCCTCGGTCCTATTGTCCAAATTCTCTACTTCAAGACCTTTTATCTATGTTTTCAGTTATCAGTTTGTGGTCTGAGTATGTTGAAATGTTTGGATCTTCACATATAAACTAGTTTCCAGTAGAACATCTAAGCAGAATCACTGTTACTTCAATCTTGTCTCATGGCTGTTCTTAAACGATCAGGAGCATCAGACCAAATGTCTGAGGTTTAAAAGGTCCTTCAACATGCTGAGTAATAGGTTTCTAATAATTCAAACTTTTTTATCGTTTAAATGTGGAATTTCCTAATTTCTTCAATGCCAGAAATTACATGTATTACTTATTACTGAGTTTCATCACAGGCTGCTGGGAACTCCCCTAACATTTGCCTTGTCTCAAGTGGCGCCCTCTAGAGTTTATATTAGGATCTTTCTTCTCACAACCATCTTCATTCATTACTAGTAGAATTTATAGAACCTGATAAGACAATATTTCTAAAATTACTTGAACTAAGTAATAATATGATAGCCAAATCATATTAAAAAAACGTTAAAATCATGTGATGTGATGAACAAAAAGGCAGCCCCATCCTGAGCTGAAGAATTGACTGCAGAGGGAAGATGCTTTCGTAAGAGTAGACGACTTCTTTAATCTAGTAATATATTACAACCTTATTCTAGTATGACTTTATTCAAATATTAAGAATTGTTCTCATAGACCTTATATTCTACCACCTTGGTGAATCTCAGTATGACCCCAATACCCTGTACATGTCTACCAGCTTGCAAACTTTTAAAAGATTGCAGCCTTGTGAAACTCAACTTGCTACATAATTCCTGTATTTCTGTGTAATGATAGAAATCAGCAGCAGTCTGCAAGGTTAGCAGTTAATTACAGCGTCAGAAAGCCCAGCCGATCAAACAGGATGATCTTCAAGGTACTTGATGCAACATTTTGTTTGGTAGATCAAGTGAATAAATCAATGAAAATCATTTTATAAAGATAGAGCACAATGCAGCGCATGTGTCTTAAGAGGAAAACCATTAAAAAATGTTCAAAGGTCAGATAATGTTAAATTAATATTTATTTGTGGAAGAAGACAACTGATGCACTATACTGGAAGTATGCCAGAAAGAAATGCCAGGCTGAGTTTAATAAACCCTTTTGGTATTTTTACCCAGAACTGTGGGCTTTAGTCATGATTGTTAACTATAGTGAAGGTTCTATGATGCTGTGGGTCTACTACAGTATCTATTCTCAAAACCTAAGGTTCCTTGTTGCAGGAAAAGGCACCTTAAACTCTTTAAAATACTGTGGGATTTCAGTTTAAAAACCTTGATCCTCTGGCAGAAAAATTTTAAAATTGAAAATGGAGCCAGATAAACACAAAGTATTTTTAAGTATTTTAGAAAAATGTAAGACATAGGATTAAGCAGGATTCTGAATAATCAAAAGAGAAAACTAGATTCTCTGTTAAAGCCTTGTCGATAACGATGCTGTATGTCACACCGCTAATAAAGAAATAAACACACATAAAGTCCCCAAAAACTGAACCCATTTATTCAAACTTCTTTCCTGCAATGTTAGGTTTTTTTTTGTTTTTTTAAAGCACTTTCAGCAATATAAAACCTGAAGTCCAGACAAACAGGGTGCTTACAAACTATTAATATGTTTAAAAATGTACTTCTTAAAAATGAATGACAGAGGAAGCAACATGCACACTGGAACAAACGGAAACCAAACAGAACAAAAGAGATTCCCAGGATAAGCTCATTTAAATTCACTAAATCTTAATCTAGCAAATTGTGCTTTTATACAATCATCTTAGCCCCAAAAAACAATTCTTACAATAAAACTGAATTAAAAAAAAAAACATTAGTTTCAGCAGAAGTAGTTCCATAAACTGGACAATGAGCATTTTAAATAAATTCTCTCCCCTGCTCTGCGTCCTCCATGGGTGCAGACACAACGGACCCTTTCTGTGTGGAGCTGATCTGGGTCCTGCCCAGAATCTTTGCCCATCACTTATTCAATAGTAATGATGCTCCTGCATGAACCCCGTAGCTGTGAGCCTCCAGGGAGCAAAGACGAAAGGTGTCAATATTAAAAAGTTAAAAGAAGAACCAAACACAAAGAAGTTGGCACTTCAGCATGTTGAGGTAAACTTCCCAAAAAACAGTTTAAAAACTTGATTCTGCCTGAGAGGCTGGAGAGGCGACCGTTTTAGGCCACATTAAGGCAGGCAACGCGTCCTTCTGCTGTCTGCAGCTGACTATACCATGCGTCATCCATCTGTCCATCGTGTGTCAACTTCAGAAACCCATGCAGATGGAAGGTTCCAGTTTAAACAGTCGTTGATCCCAGTATAACTGGATGTAACGTCCTCTCTAATGTTGATACAGCTATTATTTTATCTATAGGATGAATTTTCAGGAGGAAGTAAAAGAGTGATTGCCTGAGTGTCTCCCTGGTTTGGGTTTGCCCTGGAAAAGCCACTGAAAAGTTCAATAACACTTTGAATTCTCTTGTTCATGAGAAAAGCAGCTGAAAAAAACCCTGATTTTAGCACAACGATGAAGGATAATACTGAAGTCTGAAAACTGAAAAAGCAAATGGAGATTTCAGGAAGGGAGCCATCTTTGGTTTGCCATTCAGCTTGAAATACTTCATGGTTTGTCTGAGAAGCTGCCTCTGAGACAATGCTGAGGAAGATCCAAACATCTTTCTATAGAGTTAATCTGACGTTAGAAGCTCCGGTTTGTATCTGAGGGGATCATATGAAAGCAGCGCGACCCAAGAGATGAACCATTGGTCCCGCTGTGTCCTCGTCTCATTTCCATAACCAGCGCTGATCCACTGCTCACAGGCACCACCATTCGTCCCATGTTCATTGCATCGCTGTCTCTCACTGATTTAGTCCCCAGAGTCTTTATTATGAGAGTGAGGAGTGAACTTCAGCCGAAACGTTCCTGAGAAATGCAGAAGAGAAAAACACATTAAAATCCTGGCAGGTGGGTGAGTCTCGCTGAAGCAGTCAGACTTCTTTTAAACTGCTCTATGATTAATAGCTCCCAAAGCTTTCTGAAGGTCATTTCAAAGTTCAGCTTCACCCTGTGATGGCTGTTTGTTTTTCAGGTGATTGGATAAAGTTAACACAAATATGAGACCAAAACTTTGCCGGTAAAAGGTTTCTGAGTCAATCTACATTCTGCCCCTTCTTATTACATCCATATAAACAAACATCCTGTAAACACACAGAACAGCGTCTCATTCTCCACATTGATCTAATAATAATATCTTCAACTGTTTATAAGAAATGAAAATGTTTTTAAAGGTGAAAATTAATTTATAACAGTTAGTTTTTCCTGTACAGATATTTTAGTAAGAATTTACACTAAATAAGATCTTATATTTTATCTACAATGAGCACCTCGTCACATACCTTAGGTTATTGCTCTTTATTATAATTATTATTATTCTTTATTATTTGACAAAGTTGTATCCTGAATTTGAATAATCTAAGAGATGTTAATAAGGAACTTGCAGTTAACTTTTAAAAATATGGATTCTTTTTATGTTTTGTTGTGGTTTCTTTTTTTATTATTTAACTTTTGCATATTTGAATTTCCTCCCTAATCTAAATGATGTAATTCAGATCTATTTAAGCCTTTTTATAACATAACTAGCTCTGGGTTCCATCTTTGATGTCTTTCATATGATTTAATACATAACTTATATATAAAAAGAGAAAGAGGACCTTCTATTTTATGGTTTATAAAAATATTAATTTTATTGTGTAAAATCGATTATGGGGAAAAACTTGAGGTATTTTAGTTGTTACAGCTGAGGGAGGAGTGCAGCTTGACTGGCCCCAGGAGTTTAGCGGGTTAGCAGCAACCACATAGGAATGGAGCCATGCAGATTGAGGTTTCTGAGCCAAAGATGTGCTTTATGACAGAGAAAAGTTAGAGACACGTGTTGCCTTCTACATCCGGCGCAATGAGGCCACTGCCCGGATGGGTGGGGATGACGCCAGTAAGGAGAGAATACAATAACTGTTTGTAATCATTCCTCTTTATGTGTTGCTTTAGAAATCTTTTTTTTTTTTTTTTTTTTGAATCCTAACAGACCAAGACCGAAACGATTTCTATTATAAACAAAAAGAGAAAAAAATAAAACATAAGAGCAGCAGCATGATGGTCATTAACCAAAAAAAGGAATTAGTTTTCAGAATATAGATCAGATCAGTATTGCTAAAAACCAAAACAAATCGCGTCACGACTTGAAATATACCGTTTGAAAAAGTCTGCAAAAAGACCCTTGTCCTCTAGGAGCAAGAAGCACACTTTCACCACTAGGAGGAGCTGTTTAACACCTTCTGTAGACCAAAACAGGATGTGTGACAAAGCAGTGCTCTCTAGTGATGAACTAAGAATTTGAAAATTTAGATGAGATTGTTAACATTTAATATCTGAATGGTGTATTATCTTGTTTTATTTTGTTTCCTTATTTTTTTACTACTGAAGGGGAAGAGAAATTTAATATAAGCAAAAGATAAAAGTGATATTAGGATCTGTCCACATTAAATCAGAAGCTTGGCTCCATCTCACCCTGCTGTGCTGACTCCATTGTTGGCTGCTTGCATTCCTCTGCTCTGTGTCCGCCGCCGCCGCAGTTGTAGCAGGACACATTCCCCGCTGCCCGTTTCTGGCCTCCATTACCCACAGTGCTTTGGGACTGATAGAACCCCGTGCTCTGCTGCTGGTCATGTGATGTGGGGCTCTGGCGATAGAGAGTAGGCGGGACCATCATGGGATAAGAGAAGTGAGGGGCTCCAGGGCCGGAAGTGCTGGACGAGGCGATGAGTGGGCTGAGGTGGAGCAGGGGCCCCAGGGTGAACAGGGAGGGCCCGGCTGAGAACGGCTGCAGGTAGCCGGCAGCTGCATACCCTGGTAATGTACCATAGGGGCTACAGTTACCATGGCAACCACAGGAGCTGCAAACACACATGGAGGTGCTTTGAGCTGAACTCTGATTTAAGGAAGGGGCAGAGGAGGAAGAGGGCGGGGCGGGACTTGTGGTAGGCTGGTAGTTAGGGTTCCCCAGGGCTGCTGCAGTGGGGTTGGTGGGCATGGGCAGAGCGCCCGATGTGGAGGAGGCAGGGTGATAGTGGTATCCGGTTGGAGAGGAGGAGAGGTGGAAGAGCAGAGGTGGCTGGGAGACGTGATGGAGGCTGTTGGATGTGGAGGTCAGGGCAGAGCTGGTCTCCACCATCAGACCTACAGCGCCCCCTGGCCTCCTGCGGCTTCCTGCAGACTCCTGAGGTCCGGAGTATCCATCCATACTGAGACCCGTAAACTGATTCTCCAGCCTCGCCGCCACCCCGACTCCAGGTCCTAAACTGAAACCCGCTCCGACCGCGACTGCGCCCAGAGGCTTAGCCCTGTCCTCTGAGCAGAGCGGGGAGGGCCGGGGCTGACGCGTTGACGACAGGATGCGAGCTGGGTTTGGGACAGACTCGGGGTAACTGGGCTGCGGGTGGTATGGAGCCTGAAGGAGGTTGAAGGGAAGGTGGGATGAGCAGGAAGGTGGGTGAGGAGGAGCCGGATCCGTCTGGACAGGAAGAACTTGGGCTGTGGGACGACTGGAACCGGGGGGGCAGGCAGAGTTCAAGATGAAGCGGCCTTTCTCTGTAACACCGGTTTGGTTTAGACCTGAAACACCTGAACCACAGAACAGTGAGAAAAATCTCAAATGTGTCACCGACCCCCCGCCTTCATCACACCCATCTGGTCGCTCGGAGGAGACTTACGTCCAAGAATGTCTCTGCTCCTGTCAAAGGTAGAGTCACAGCAGATCGGCATCCAGGAGGAGGAGCCAGAATAACCAGAGGAGGAGGTGCTGTCTGGGGACATCAGCTGATGAAGAGGAGGAGGATGCAGCGCACCGTCTGCATCCACCCGCTGCTCCCCTGCACGACAGTTAAGGATTTACCTTCAAAGTGCTGCTAATAAACACACTGAAGTCTGTCTTTTCAGGACACTGTAAAGGAAACTAACTTTCACACTTTATTTTCCAAACCTTAAATGCTCCATTGATTAAAAATAAACATTGATTCACATTAAGACTGAATAATTACACCATTGCATCTTTCTAAAATTACTTAATTCTATTGTGCTGTAAACTGTAATTGTTTTGGGGGGATAAGCTTGCTCTGCATTTCATACACAAAATCAATCCATTTGTATATATATTTAACTCTTTTTAATTATTGCAACTATAATAACTATATTTACTTTGGCTTTTTAGGCCTGTTCTAAATATCCCTAAATAAATTTTCCTGATGGATCAACTATGAAATTCCTCTAATATATTAACCTGGCATGACTTGGATTGAAACTGATCCGGTTTTCAAAAGTAATTTTAAGGAAAACAAAAAGAAAAATGAACCAGTTTTGATCCATTATAAAACAATAAATATTCAGGTTATGATAAAAAAGAGCCATCTGTCCAAGGAAACAAACAGCCTGGATAAATCCAAGAACAAATCTGATGTGAAGAGTGTGATCTCTTCTGCTATCAGCCGTTAAGGTAGCAGCAGACTCCAGACCTGCTGTGAGACAGATCCTTCCTGCTTTTAGCCTTGAAAGTAAAAAAAAAAAAAACACTTAATGTATTTTTTTTTTTAATCCATATTCTAAATATCACATTCCTCAAAACTTCTCCAAAAATAATATCCTGGACAACAGTGTAACAAGTTTCGGTTATTTTAATACAAAAAAGACCACTCAATTTTTCCAATTCTGACCTGAATTCAAACATTATGTTTATCTTAAATTACAAAATTTCGTAATTATTTAACCGTATTTTTCTCATTAATTAAAAAAATTAAAAAAGATAAATTGATTACCAAGGATTTTTACATGGAAATACCTAAGATTATCCAAATGGCAATTCATGAGAGGTCGGGAATTCTACTGAAAACAGGAGTGCATCCAGGCTAAATACCAAAACATGATACCATCAGACCTTAACTTTATATGAAGCATTAAAATCCCCTTAAGAGAAAACACACATTCCTCACATCCTGTTACCTGCAGTGGGGGTGGGCTGGGCAGAGATTCCCATATGACTGGAAGGTATCACCCTGGCGATGCCGCCGCAGGGCCGCTTCTCCATCTTCATTTCCCTGCTGTGGACACACAAGAAATCACACCTTTTTTCCACCAGGGGGAGACAATGTCCACCAAATGGGTCGGTTTGCTTCTTTAAAAACATGTTTCTTTTTATGGAGAACCTGCTGGAGGAAATTTCCATTTTCTGCATCCTGTTTAAGCACAGACACACACATCCTCAACTGGCTGGAAAGCTGAACAGAACCAGCAGAGAGGTAAAGGAAATGCATGCACAGGTTTGGATCTGCTTGAGTAATAAAAATCGGAAGTGTAGAAGTTTTTTTGAGTAGGTTCGTGTTTTCAGTTTGCGTCCACCCAGATTTCCTCCTGTTGAGTACGCCTTAACTCTCTGATCCCCCACCAGCCAGTTAACCATTGACCGTTTATGGAGGTTCTAAACACTCAGATATCAGCGGCTGATCAGCCTGCCTGTTACTCTATAATGAGGTTAAGGCTGAGCCAAAATCAACCCTGTCGAAGAGTAAATTAGATTGATCCTTTAAAAGATTATTTTAACTATTTCCAGACAATGAAACAATAACTTGAACCCTGAATCATCCCCAAACTAAATGTGTGCTTTTCTCAGAATACAAACAATCTGACAGCTGAGATTTGTGAACATATAACAGCTTTTCTGAGCTGCCTTTTAAAACACATCTGATTTCCTGAGACTCTCCAGATGTTCTGGAACTTTTCCGGCTAATGTCATTCATTAAGTGAAATGTTCTGCAGCTTACTCTGCTGACTTTTGAAGCTCCAGCTGAGTCTTTAGTTTCTTCTTAGCTCCCTGGGTCAGGTCGTACTTGTTTAGGTCCTCCTCCGTCAGAGCTAAAAACTGCTCACAGAAACAGGTAGAAGGCTGAAACGTTCGTTCATGAAGTTATTCCAAAATAAAATTTAAAGCAGTGCAGACCTCCTCCATGGTGAGCTGTTTGAAGACTGGGTAGTACTTATGGAGCCGAAGTTTGCGGAGCCAGTCCAGGATGCCGTTCTGCTCCGGAGTGTTGGGCTGGGACTGTGCTGGATGGGACTGGGAGCGGGTCAGGGAATGCGAGTGGGACACCTGCTGGGAATGGGACAGGTGCAAGGACTGCGTACTGGGCTGAAGGCTGGTTTGTGGATGAAGTTGGTGCTGCAGGGGCTGTGGGTATGAGTGAGGCTGACTGTGATGCAGCAGAGAGGATGCATCGCCTCCAACGGCTGCAGAGCACTTCGAGGGGAGGTGATGCATGGAGGGAAGCAGCAGAGTGTGCTGAGGAGGAGGAACAGCGGGAGACAGGAGGGAGGAAAGGTGAGGAGGGGAACGAGTCAAGACGGGGCTGTGGGTGCTGACCACGGGCTGGACGCTGGCCACCCTGTACACCACCCTGAAAGAGAAGAGGCTGGCAATGAGTCCCATAAATTCAATTCAACAGAAACATCAACAGCTTTTAGAAATAGACTAAAAATATTCACTGAAGTTAACTTTAGGAGCTTTAACAAGCAGGCCAAACACATGTAACTCAATCTATTATATGGTTCAGCCTTTAGAGATTAAAGAAATAATTATGGACTCAATTGGATAAACGTCACCCTTTACACAAACTAACCACCACAGACTGCACATGACTGGTGGTAAGTTAGTAAATAAAAGATACAGCCATGCAGAAATCACACAGTGAGGTCCTTTGCTCTGCTCCTGGTGCATTGTTTGAAAATCTGTCATGCCATTTCTTTTGCTTTCTTTTATGCTGATTTAGTTTTTTCTTCCTCTATTTACATGATAAAAATGACACATTATTAGCAAATGCTGCACAAATCTCAACACAAACAAGAAGACAAACATAGCATTAACATTGGATAGCAAATAGAGGAATGCTGCAAAAAGTGCTTTCACATGAACTTAAAGCTACAGTGTGTAATTTTTAGCGACATCTAGCGGTCAGACTGCAGACCGCAGCAACATGAACATCTCCCCCCCACCACTTCTCCCCCCCAACAGTACGGCGAGCGTTACGGGACAAAATGTCTTCCACGACGTCCGCATCACCTACCTTCTCATGTGATGAGGTTTGTTTACATAGATAATTTAAATACTGCCATCTATTGTTCAGTACCGTCTCAGTTCATCTCTCTCAACTTGCCGTAGTTACTTTCGAGCGTAATGGGCGATCTCGCAATCGCTAGTTTGTTGCCTCTGCGCTGCCGTAGCGCAAAGATGTCTGCCTCCATGGCTGCGAGACCCGCTCCTATGTAATTATAAATAACGAATTCTAAGGCAACGCAAATATTAAGGTTAAGAGGCTGAGCTCGTAGATGATGATAAATAACATAGTTATGTATAATATATTACATTTCTGACTGTATATCCCTGTAATTATTACACACTATAGCTTTAAGGTATGAATGCTAAATGCTAAATACACAAATGAATCAGTAAATGCATGAATGCATTGGCAATACAAGAAATAAAATACAAATTTCAGCCCAAAACATATACACTTTATTTCTTTATGCTAGATGCATCATCCTCAAACCCTCAGTAAAAACTAATTATAGTCATATTTCACACATCATGCTATGAGTCATTAGTTTAATCTGCATATATTGCATTATGGTAAACTGGTCCGGAACCTTTAGGAAATTACTTAATAATTGGAAAACTAAAAGAAAAAAAGAGAGATCTAAATGAATCTAGAGTTTTGATGCAGCAAAAAATGTGCACGAAATGCAAGAAAATCACCTGTTAGATCCTCTGTACTGCACCATGCAGTCGGTATCTGTAACACAGAGAAACAAAACAGACAACACAGTGAGAAATCTGTTCAGTGTCATACATACTCTTGTGTCTTTTTCCCCTTACAAGACAAAGCTGATCAATAATAATGTGCCTTCTACTAAAACTAATTGATCAGGGTAAAACCGCAACCAGTTTCTTCAGGAGGATTTTTAAATGCTGACTTAGATGCTCTCATGTTTTTAGTCTCTCATGTTGACTCTTAGATCTGATCTAAAAATAAATCACAAATCATGCATAATAATTTTGTCTTCAAATGCTTTTTTTTTGTTTTGTTTATATTTTCTGTTAAAAATAAAAAATATAAAACACATGCTAAAATATATCACTCTGTAATGAATAAAAAATATATAAGCTTTTCCTTTGACTTGTACAAACTTAAATAACCTAACTGGGGCTGCAACTAACATTCATTTTGCTAATTGATTCATCTGTTTATCACTTTTTCAATTATTGGTTTATCAAACGGATAGAAATAGGATACTTAAAGAAGATATTTTACATCGTTTAAGCCAGGTGAAACTAAAACTTTTCCAATTGAAGAGTTCTGGAAAGACCATACTGACGAGCAGAAGTTTTATCTTAAATGCAAAATGTTTACATATTTGTTCACAATTCTGGTAGAACTACAGTCTAATTAGTTGATGATTATTTAAATAATGGATTAATCTGCTGCACAGAACAATACAAGCATGTTTCTTTCCACCTCTACAAAGTATTCCCAAAAGAAACATAATCTTCTGAACTCTGACACTAGAATCCTTCAGGAATCTTTAATTCTCTTAAACGTCTACCAGCAAGAATATGCAGCGTAAAAGAGCCGTTCATCTAGTCTAGTGTGCACATGATGGACCGTCACACAGTTTGGGCAAGAGTGTGTATGGAGGGAGCACTTCACCATGAAGCTGGACATACTCACAATGCTGCTACTGAGAACTTGGAACGATTCAGAGGCATAAACGTAGAGTAAGAGCCACACTGAGAGACACATGCTGCAACGGCAGCTATAAATACACTCTTAGATGAAGTCACATTTACACATTGAACACACAAACACACACACCACTATGAGGTCACCACACTCTGGGCTTCCCAACACAAACATGCCGCAGTGAATTCCCACACCAGACCAAAATAGACCAACACCTCAATAATCACAGAGTGCCGTCTCACCTCTTCTCTACGACCAACTGATTGCCTCCTCTTTTACACTACCGCTCTTCTCATCTCAAACACCTCAGCACCAGCAGGAGCCCTGTGTCTCCTTCCTTCTCTGAAGCTTTTCATAGATCTCTCATATTTGATCAAATACGTCCAGCTTTAATAGATTTTAGTTAATGTTTATCTTTAGTGGAATGAAGGAAGGTAGAACTTACTGGAACTGGAAGTGAGCGTGCAGGTGGGACTGCTGGGTGAAGAGGAACATGGAGGTATTCTGGCGGAAGGGGGAGAGGAGGGAGAGTTGGGTGACCGAGGCCGGCTGGAGTTGAAGAACAGCTGGACAGTGGGGTGCTTCAGGACATGACTGGGTAAAGCAGTCAGACACCTGGACAACACAAAGAAGAACGAAGGTTGCATAAAATCCCCCCAAAAAAGTTTTTATTAGACAAAGATCAACTGTGTTTAACAAACTGTCATTCAAAAATTATTGTATCCATTACAAAAAAAAAGCAATCATAAAGAAGGTGAAAATTCATCAGTGCACAAATCTTTTTTTTAGGCATGTCTTCCTTCATAAATATGTACAACACTCTGAAAATATGTTACAAACTGACACGCACAAATATCTGCAGTTATTGCCACAAAGGAGGCATGTAAACACATTTGTATTGTTGAAAATAACAATAGCAGAATAATTTTAATAAAGAACATCTACACAGACCAGCACAATTGAATGCAGTGGGCAGCGGACATTATTTAACCAGTTAAACCAAAATAACAATAAAAAATGACTGAAATAAAATCAAGTGGCATGTTTATGAAAAAGAATACCGCTAAGAAAAAGAACATCAAACGAGCCTACAAAATGGCATAGTGGGCTTTTTTTTTTAATTTTCTTTTACTTTTATTCATAGCACTGTGAAGGCTACTAAGTGCACCATAGTTGCACAAAATTTTTTTAATATTTTTTCCGAAACAATTATTACCTGTATCTACATGGCTTAGAACCTTGTCTTTCTTTACAGCCATTCTGGTTTGCGCATCTTAAAATTTACGCAGCAATCTTTGTAGACACTCAGATATGCTCACTTATTGAATCTATGAAGATTAGTAATTAGTTGACTTCTGAAAGTAATTGGTTGTACCAGATTTTATTTAGGGGAACCACACTTAAGGGGGATAAATAGAAACACCCTTCTCAGATTATTAGTTGCAAAAAGCAAACAAAATCCTCCAATTATATAAGATCAATAAACTTTACAACCAAAAATCTATAATACTACCCATACTACTTCTATTAACTGTCTGTTATCTTAACTTCCACACACAGACACCTTACTTATGCTACGTTCACACCGCAAGTGATTGAAGCAGCAGGTTTAGATACATGGTAAATGGCAGACATGGGCAATGTGGAGTCAACAAGTCATCTCCATGTCATGTATTTGTTCTACCCAGCCACTGAAGCAAGTGAGTCCAATCTTTAACCTGTGCAGATTGGACTCACCTGGTTAATTGGCTGGGTAGATTAAATACATGACATGGAGATGACTTGTTGACTCCACATTGCCCATGTCTTGTAAATGGTTGACGCGCATCAAAAGGTCCTGCGCCGCGTCTAGAGCAGCTGAACAGCACGTCTTGATGCATCTGAGCAGCTGAAGTATCGCTTTATGAGCTTCTGAGCATCTGAGGAGCATGACAGGCTTCACCAGCAGCAGATGTTAGAGTTGGACAAATGGAACTTTTGCTGCTACACGCACCACATCAACCAAGCAGACAAGCCGATCTGGGAGCTGGCAGGGAGACAGATGCGGTGTTGCTGATGCAGACCGCTATGATCACTCCTCTGAAACAGTTTATTAATGCCTAAATTAACTTAAAATAGCGAAACCTGCCAGCAGAATATGATCGCTTTTATTATTAAGGGGAGTGGCAGCCTAGTGGTTGGGGCATTGTGCTTGGAATCCAGATATTCTGAGTTCAATTCCCACTCCCACAGACTGCCACTCTGGGTCCCTGAGCAAAGACCCTTAAGACCACACTGCTCCCCTGCCACAATGGCAGCCCACTGCTCCCCAAGGGGATGGGTAAAATGCAGATAGATTATGTCATTGCTCTGTGCTTGTGATAGTGTGATCACAATAAAATCCAGACAAAAAAGAAAGAAAACAACAATAGTGGAAAACCCCCAGCTGCTGCAGGAATTTCCACTGACAGCACATCGCCGGTATGTGGAGAACTACGTGGCACTGTCACAGAAATAATATTTCTAAGGCAGGATAATAATCTTGATTTCACAGACGATGTTTCAAGGTAGATTTTCTTGCTTAAAAACATATTACAACTACTTTTTACCCACTTACAACGGCAAATATAGCAAAGCCCATCTCTGCCACTGAACACAGGAGTAGCTAAAGCATCAGACGCATCTGGACACATTTTACTGGACGCGCTTTAGTAGCGTCAAAGATGCTCTTGACGAGCATCTGACCTTAATGTGTAAAAGATTTAAAAATGAAGCAGCAGGCACCTTTTTGCTGCCCAAAGCGTGTGCGGTGTGAACATAGCATTACTGTGAACACAAGATTTAGGCATGTAGAAGTGAGAGCTCTGCTGAAAGTGATTCGCCCATTAACAAGAGACCAAATTCTATTGAAATTTATGTCTTCATTGCAGACAGAAGAAAGGTCCATATTAGTTTAAACAAAAGATAAAAAAATAAATAAAAAGACAATTAACCAATTAATTACATTTCTTAGAAGTCTCTCCATTCAGTGATTCCTCAGAGCAAATGTGTACCTACAAACTCCTCCAGTCACTGCATATACTTAAACATCCAACGTCTTTGCAAAACTTTAGTGAAGTTTTTGGACTTACCTGGTGTCGACCTCTAGGGCCTGAGGAAGGAACTTCTCCAGACCATCTTCAGGAAAAACCTGTGAAAGCTGACAGGAAAACTTTCAGCACGATTCAACTTAAAGTGACCCATAATGTACTACGCATTCTCACACTATACAGATGATACGGAGCTTTTTACACACAAAAAACTGAATGTTCAAATAACCATGGTGGCATGAAAAACTACCTGGAAAAGAGAAAGCATTGCAGCATTGAATCCTTCTTCATCACTGATTTCTGCTTTTAGGTAATTCGATGGATTCTCTTGAAATTTCAACATTAAATTTATTACTTTGATAATCCTAACAATTCTTGCCAGCTCACTGACATACTTTCATACATTTATGTTCACAAATTATATTCAGAAATTAAGCAATCTTGTGTACAAACTGGTTACACCCCCACATCTCAAATGGCACCATAAGCCTTTAAATGTCATCTGAACCCTAAAAAACCCCCAGCAATATTACCTGGGATAATAATTCTGCCACTTCCTTTTGAGTCCTGACAACTGAATATGTGAAAGCGTCGGACCAGCCCACCTGGAGAAGCAGATGAGAGAAAGAATCACAGCAATGGCTGAGGTTGATAAAAAAAAAGAAAGGTGTTATTTATTTCTAGGTGTTCATTTACCTCAAACACATATTCGCTGCCATTTTCTGACTTGTGCGTCACCCTCCTTATCAGCACCCGTTCAATCACAGCTGAAAGAAGCACACTTTGGTAAAGACACTCTCACTAAAGATTCTTAATGTCATCTGCAAACAATATAAGTTCATGCAAACTCCTTGCTGATTTATCTGTCAACCTGCCCATCATCACTGCAAACAAGGAGATAAGAACTAATCCCGGATGTAATCCCTCCTTACCTTAAACCCATCTGTTACTCCTCCCACACACCTCACCAATGTCCCAATACAACTGCACATGTTCTACATTTCTATCCTCAAAACCTCCTATACGAATTCTAGTAAGAAAAACAAACAATCCTCACTAAATAATACCTTTAATATTTTGAAAACAGTACAGTGATCCAATTCTAGGATTAAAGAGGGTAAAATCATGAATCTTTGTATGTGGGTCTCCACAAACGATAAGAAAATGTGCACATATTTTATTTGTCGATTTATCATTCTCGTGAATGCATACTTCAATTTGAGAGTTGGTTTAGATCGCTGTGCTTCAGTTTGATTCATGTCACTTGATGGAAATTGAGTGCAAGTGAAAACACGGGTGTGGGTTCAGACATGTACAGATACACGGCCCTAATTTGGCATTGGGCGTGAAGGGACAAGCTGCTGAGGCGTACACTGCTCTCCGCCTTGATGGGTGCATCCAGCTGTGGAGGTTTTCCAAAGACATTTACACCAACAAACTGTCAGATTGTGTATTTAGAACAAGCTGCTGATTCTCACCTGCCAACTGATTTTACTAGTTTACATCAGCAGTTACTGCAGACATGCAGAAAAATGCAATAACTCCCGATCAGCTGCCTTAAAGACGACGCTGAACACAGAGAAACAACACCTGCAACATGGACTTCACATTGCTCTCCTGGTTATACTCTGAAGGCCAGCGTTTTATGTTGGGAACAGTTATGCAGTGTTACCAGAGGTGACATAGCTGAGTGTTGTGTTACAGCTTCTCACCAGGTCACTGATTTCTAAAGGCGGATAATGGAAGGCATCCCTGTTGATAGATTAGGCTTCTGAAAAACCGAACTTGCGGGTAACAGGTGGGAATGAGAGGAGGGACCCTGCTGCTGGCAAGAACCTCACACATGAGGTGAACAACAACAACAGAAAAACGCTTAATTAATAAACTTAATAAAATGAGTACAAGAGTTAAAAAAAACAACAGAAAATATACTATAAAGTATAAATGACAAAACAAGAAAAGCTTAAAGAAAGCCTTAACCAAATGCTCTGAAAACCAGTCAGAAAAATATATTAAGCAGCTACTGTGCAGAAGTACATGGATTTTGTTTAGCTGAGCATATGGGCCACAGGTAAATGGCCAGCTGAGACAAACATGAATAATAAGAAAACTCATAATTTTTCATCAATAAAAAATCCATCATTTAGTTTAAGTTGTTTAGGTGCTGGAGATTCGCTCCAGTGATGAGTTTATAGCTTAATTTCTTCATAAAAACCTTCACCTGATGAATGAAAACAAGATTTTTAGGTAACATACTGACTACTTTGCAGCATAGAAAAGGCTAATTGTTCTGGCAGGGAGAGAAAATGTTGCAATCTTTGAGCCAATACTGTAATCATATCTGCTGTAAGACGCTAATCATTGAGGACGTTTACGTAGAAATCTTAGTCATGGTATTTTCCCTGGAAAAAAAAAAAACTGAAGGAAGCTACTTTGGATGAAAACTCAGTTTCACACATGGACTGCATCAGGCTGAGGGCTGCAAAGAATATCACAAGCATATCATCATTGTAATGTTAGTGAGTGCAATAATAATGTCATAAAACACTTGTTTAAATGCTGTAAATGGTGGCTGATGTATTCAGAGTTGCAAGTTAAGAGGAGTCTAACTGCGGTTTATGCCCACACCTGACACAGATTACAGTTCCCATAGTGCTAAAGGTTATAGGGGGTTGGAAGCACAGATAGAGATAAGAGGAGTTAGGTATAAGAGGATTTATCACAAGTGAAATTTTCTCCATTACCCAAAATATTGTTAGCAGCTGATTTTCAAATGTCTTTAATCATGACTAACTTTCTCTCTCCAAACTAATTCCCAAACAATCAGAATGATGATTCATTATAGTGAAGAAATTTACATTTGTCTCTTTTTCATCATTGCTATTCCTGTGTGTTTAATAAGCTCTGCACCGGTGGCAAAATTATCCTGTGAATATGCCTGTTAGGAAGAGACCATTCTGAGACTTGTTTTTTTCCAGCTTTTTTTATTGTTATTACACTGTCACTAGTACACAGCAACGAAATGAGCTATCTGCATTGAACCCATCTCTTTGGGGAGCAGTGGATGGCCATTGTGCAGCACCCAGGGAGCAGAGTGGGTTAAGGGTATTTGCTCAGGGACCCAGAGTGGCAGTCTGTGGGAGCGGGGCTCGAACTCAGAAGCTCAGGGTTCCAAGATCTATGCCCTAACCAGTAGGCCGCCTCTCCCCATCTTGTGCAGGAAATCCTAATCTTTCATATCTGATAAATTTGATAACTCTGCAGAATATTCTGAAAAAAAAAATGCTGAGTGGAAACCTGAAATTAGGAAATCCCAACATTAATGTCCATCCAACAATTTGTTCAGTAAACACACTTTTCCTGAACCTCAAACATGCCAAAAGTATTCCAAGTTACAGAAACCCCCGGCACCCTTTATATTTAACAAACTGGCAACTGACTCATACATACATTCAAAGTTTAAAGTCATCTTTTTTCTGCTATCATTTCATTTTCTCTGGTTTGACAAAACCACTTTCTACAGAGTGACTCATTGAAGCTGAATAAAACTTCAACCTCCCGTGATATGAAAATTGTTTGCATATTCAAACTAGTAATGATGGAGGACACAATGCTGTGCAGGAGATTTCAGAATCAAATCTGCACAGCACTGTGCAGGATATATGTTTATTCATGCAGAGCGAGTATTTCGGCAAACATTGAAGGCTCTGAAGACTGATTTTGAGGTTCTGCCACATTTGTTAAGGTCTCATTTTAAAAACCAAAACCCAGTGGTTCAACCCTATACACCTAACCCTGAGGGCAGCATTCTTTTAGCTCCACTCCTGTGTTTAGATACGCCAGCGTGTCGCATCTTGTTCTAAAGGTCTCTGCTAAACAAACGTTAGAATAACAGCTGCTCACCCTTTCCCACTTTCTCCTGGTGGCTGCTGGTTGAGGTATCCTGGGTTTGCTGATGAGCTGGTGGAGTAGAACGGAGTTCTGGGCACAGAGACGGGAGCTCCTGGTGGGCCGCTTGATCCTCGTGACCTAATGCTGCACCAGAGGCTAGTCCTGACCCTGCTGGGGAATCTGTTGTCTGTTTCTGAGACTGTGGGTTCTGGAAAATATATGGGAGAAGAGAGGCAATCAGCTTTACTTATTTTGCTTGGAGAGAGAATGGTCCTCATCAAACATCTTTTTTAATGACACTGCTGAAATAATTAAAAATGTTCAAAAGATTTTCAAATCAAAGTCAAGTCAAAGAACTTAGATGGACCTAAAAATAAAATGTTCTGTGCAGAAGTTTAACATTAAGCAAAGCCTGTATTTTCCCTCCCAAGGTTGGGATGTCCATATTTTTTTCCTCAGTTAATAAAGCAGCTTTGTTGACATGTTTCAATAAGTATAACAGATATAAAAATATCACAGATACTGACATATAAACATTTAATAATGTAAAGAGCTGATTACTTAACGACTGTGCATCCAGGAAAGTCACACTAGAAACATCATTAAGGCTGCATCCAAGAAAACAAGGTTCTAGAGGAAGGAAGTTACGGGACTGTGGATGAAACTGGGATTCACTGAAAAATCCTGGACTTTCCATTAGCCAAGATGATAAGGCTGTTACATTTGTTTGTTGCAAAACCTGTAAAGAAAAAATCACATCCTGAAGAAAGGATGCACATTTCCGCTGCAGATGATTCCATCTTCCTGCAAGGTTGCCAGATTAAACCTCAGACTGTCGCTCTGAGTCCTTGGGCAAAACCCTTAAATTCACAATGCCCCCTGGGCATTCCAAGCTGCTCCCTATATTTGATATTTTTTAATCTATGATCCCATATTTCTCCTTTTAGTTAATCAGTAAAAAGATGAATCTTTAATTAGAATTTTTTTTTTGTTAATTCTGTTTTTGAGTTGGTTAATAAATCAGCTGTGAGTATTGTTGAGTACTATTGGTTTTGCCTTCCAAATAAAACGTCTGACTAAAGATCATCAAACAGTAGAGCCTCCATATCTGTTTTTGCCAAAGGTTTTACAGCTAAAGAGCCAAAATGTTTTAGGGGTGAAAATAGAAAAGAAAATAATTCACAAATTTAGCTAGATGAAGAGGAAGAATGTAAAATGTGTGTTTACGGCTTTTTGAGTTGTTTCTAAATGGAGAAATATGTTTTATGAGAGAAATTAGTGCAGAGGAAAATAGCTTAAATGATTGCAGAAGATTTTTTTCCACCCAGTTTGTTGGTTGTAAGTTGAAGTTAATACACATGAAAGCCAAACATTAACATGTGGCAAACTGGCACCACAAGCTGTTTCCAATATAAATAACAGTCCTCAAACTCAAATGGTTATGAAATATTACCCAGACTGAGCCCACGTTTATTTCTGAGTCAGGGTAGTAAAATAAAAAAAAAAACACCCCGAATACTAATCAGAGCTTAAAACAAGAGGTTTCTGGGGAAAAAAAGGAAAAAAAGGCATAAAAATAATTAGTTGAAGTTTTTTCCTTCAAACTTCTTGAGAAATCCCCATAAAAATGCTGAATCATCAGATATGAACTCAGCCGCTCTGCTTCAAGCGAAAAGCACAGATACAGTACGAGCTGTTAGCTGATGTCGTCCAGGCCGTAGATCTGAAAGCAATTAAGTGTGCTACCGCCACATCCGCATGTAACTGAGCCAGCGCCAACTCCCCTCTGCCTGCAGACTGAAAGGCAGGAATACTTAAAGGTAAAGCAGGACTCTGAATGAGGGAAACATTAAGCAGAAGTTAGATTCAAAACAAACTCCAGTAAAAAAATCTGGAGTTTGCTGAAAATTCAGATTTCTTGAGCGGTGCCTCCTCTTTCCTCTCACATAAAAATCAGCTGTACTCTGCTATTAAGTCACAGGCTCTGCTTTTATAGACTTATAAAGCACACGCATAATAATAGGGCGATTATGCAGGTTTCTATTGGCCTAGTAAAGTAATGTATTTCATATGGTGTATTCAAACACTGCATTGTTCCTGCATTAAAAAAAATAACTCAAATAAAACAACAAATGCAACTGTTTTCTCTCTGGAGTCACAGCATCCAGCTGCTTCGTGTTAGTCAAACCTTAGGAAAGATGACTTGATAAATAAGAGAGTGGATAGATACCGGTCATGAGAATAGATTGAGGACATGCAACAACATTCACCAAGATAACAAAAGAAGGATACAATAAATAAGCTTCCATGAATTAGAGGAGGGCAAAGCAGCAGCCAGATGCTGAAGAAAACTAAAACAGAAGAGGACTGATTAATGTCCAACGGCAACCTCAGAAAAAGTAGCAAACATGTAATGTATTACATGTTTGCTACTGTGAATGTGCAAAAAAAAAAAAAGTATTATCAGAGACTAGAATATCTACAATGACAGTTTTATCAGATTTATGGAAGAGGATTAGGGCCACTGAAAAAATAAAAAAAAAGTAAACAGATTTTTTAATTTTAATAATATGACAAAAAAGTCAGAATTCTGACTTTAAAGGAATAGTACACCCAAAACATGATTAGCCTTCATTTTCTACTCACCCCCATGCTGAACAACACTCTGGAGTACTTTTTTGATATCTCAAATGCATCTGGAGATCTGGGAGGCTTCTTGCTGTCTGCTGACATTCAAATAATGGAGGTCTATGGTGCCCGAGACAGAAAGGTCCATAAAAGTCCACAAAAAACGTGTCAATATTCCTCCATACTGCTCGTCCAATATATTCCAAGTATCCTGAGTGGGTAGCATCCAGAATTTACTCGAAACGAAGTAATTTAGAATGTTTTTAGAGCATAAACAGTAGTGTATAGGATATCCTGAAAGCGCGCGCCTGCGAGTTCACGACGCTACGGAAGCCGGCAGACCAAACCAGACGAAAGTGCGCATTCAGCTCGGCAAAGAACTCATGCTCTTCCTCAACACTGAAGTCCTCAGACATTTTTCTTTCGTTGTTTCTTTCTTTGCACAGGTAAACAGCACATTTCTTCTTCTACGCTTGCATTATCGGCAGAGCAGACGCTGAATGCGCACTTTCATCTGGTTTGGTCTGCCGGCTTCCGTAGCGTTGTGAACGCGCATGTGCGTGCTTTCAGGAAATCCTATACACTATGTTTGTATGTATGTTTATGCTCTAAAAACATTCTAAATGACTTCGTTTCGAGTAAATTCTGGATGCTACCCACTCAGGACACTTGGAATACATTGGACGAGCAGTATGGAGGAATATTGACACGTTTTTTGTGGACTTTTATGGACCTTCCTGCCTCGGGCACAATAGACCTCCTTTATTTGAATGTCAGCAGACAGCAAGAAGCCTCCCAGATCTCCAGATGCATTTGAGATATCAAAAAAGTACTCCAGAGTGTTGTTCAGCATGGGGGTGAGTAGAAAATGAAGGCTAATCCTGTTTTGGGTGTAGTATTCCTTTAATCTCAGAATTCTGACTTTTTTTCTCACAATTCTGACTTTAATCTCAGAATTCTGACTTAAATCTCAGAATTCTGACTGTTTTCCGACAGCTAACAAACATGTTAGGATCAAGCCGTAGCCTTGTCTGTTTTAGAGACAAACCTAGCTCTCGTTTTAATCACCTTCTGCTCTTCCATTAACTAAACTGCATCACAGGGGACCTCTCTGACACGTAAAAAGTTGCCTAATTGCGTCATTTTCCACCATTGTGTTACTGGCCCTCCCAAACAACTCACATCTTTGTCAGTGAAGCTGAGTGCTCTCACATCTCTTCCTTCATGGTGCCCATCTACATTAAGATCCACAATTCTGAGATTCAAGTCAGAATTCTGAGATTAAAGTCAGAATTCTGAGATTAAAATCCGAATTCTGAGATTAAAGTCAGAATTAAGAGAAAAGAGTCAGAATTCTGAGATTAAAATCCGAATTCTGAAATTAAAGTCAGAATTAAGAGAAAAGAGTCAGAATTCTGAGATTAAAATCCGAATTCTGAAATTAAAGTCAGAATTCTGAGATTAAAGTCAGAAATCTGACTTTTTCCCCATACTAAACTGAAATAAAATTTAAAAATGAGCTGACTTTTTTTGCTTTTTTTTTTTTACGTCCCTAATCCTCCTCCGTAAAGATTAATCAACTCTCTCTATTCAAGAAAAAAATGTCTAAGAATCTTTGGGTAACAAACCTGACATAAATCTCATGTTTACCAAAGTCTGCCTCTGATTGGCTGATCTCGTCCTGCTGATAATGAAAGACGAGCATGTGCCACTAAATAAGATCAGACGCATTGATCAGGTCATTAGAAGCCGATCGCGGCATCAAATCCACAAATTCTTCAACTGCTCTCTCATGTACATTGACATTATATTATAAGGTATCAAAATTATAGGAGCTGAGAAAGTATAATGAATTATTCACTATTTTTGTGAAGGGGGCAGTTGAGATGAGATTTTTTCATTCAAAATAGAAGAAAGAGAAAATAATTTTGACAAATGATTAAACAGGAATGCTCCTAAGAAGCTTGTGGGTGGATTTAAAAAAAAAGCAGTTTTAATTTAGACCTAGAAGGACTGTTTCATGTTCCTTCCTCCAGCGCAGCAGTCATCTTTGTTCTCTGCTTCGCCGCTTTGTCTGCCCAGTGGCTCCTATGATGTACAGCTGCAGCTCCTTAGCTTTAGATGGGGGAAGACTGGCAGCCTCATCCCACTTATTTTTCCCGAGCTGCTACTGTCTGAGCTCTGAATACCATCTCCCCTTACCTTTGTAGTCTGGATACTCTGACCAAAACACACATGGCCGAAGCACAGGAGAAGCTCAGAGAAGCAAGGCAATTCCCGCACTTAAAATCTGAGGCTAATCAAACAGGCTTAGATATCAGTTGTTTCGTCAAGAAAAAACATTTCTAAATCTATTTTTGGTTATGAGTCCAAAGGGATAAACCATCGTATTGCTTCAAAAGCTGGGCCAGAATCACAGCTTTCCCATTTCACTGGCCTTCCACCTGGATATACAGCCACCAGGGCAGAGCTGAGAGACCTTACGGTGGAAATGACATCTGGAGTGTTCCAGTCAGTAGCCAGTTCTGTAGCAACAAGAGCTGAAATCTAAAGTGGTTCCTAAACTTTACATTCACCTTT